CTTTGCTATACCAAGTGACAAAAAAACAGGTTATACATACACACAAACAGAATATGCTCTTGTGTTAGGTGAAAATACAATAAAACTTATTTCTGGGCATTTGTATTGTAAGTGAAGTTTTTCCTTTTTTCTTATCTATGATTTCTGCAATAAACCTCTGAAAAGTTCTAGTTAAAGTTCATTCTGAATGAAATAATCCTTGGGAAGAGAAGGAATATAATATTTGCATAGATCAATTCTCAGTTTCTATTACTTATTTATGTGGATGGATATCTTATGTGAACTTTTAGCCTCTTCAGAAGTAGAGGGAATGTTTTTGCCTGTGCCTGTAGATTTTATGTGTAGATTTTATTATGTATACATTTTATTATATATCTTTTCATTATATATAGATTAACATGTTCAAGAAGTATGGATTAATCATTTTAGTTATATCTTTATGAAAACTAAAATAGCAAATATAAATGATCATTACTATTACAAATGTATTGCTGTACTCTACAGGAGTTTTCTTTAAAAATATTGAACTTGGGCTGGACACGGTGGCTCATGCCTGTAATCCCAGCACTTTGGGAAGCCAAGGCGGGTGGATCACCTGAGGTTTGGAGTTCGAGACCAACCTGACCAACATGGAGAAACCCCGTCTCTACTAAAAATACAAAATTAGCTGGCTGTGGTGGCGCATGCCTGTAATCCCAACTACTCTGGAGGCTGAAGCAGGAGAATCACTTGAACATGGAGGTGGAGGTTGCGGTGAGCCGAGATCGCACCTTTGCACTCCAGCCTGGGCAATAAGAGTGAGACTGTGTCTCAAAAAAAAAAAAAAAAAAAAAAAAAAAAAAAAAAGGGATTGAACTCCCCAGCTGTGTTTATCCATTCTTTCAATCCATTTATTCATCAAATATAAGCCAGCTACCTATAATGTGGCAGGCATAGTCTACTATCTTGCAGTATCCTTCCATCTTTGAAAACTTCATATTTACCTGCCCAGCTTGAGCAAGGTGAGAGATTTAAAATTAGAGTAATAGGACTTAAGCTCAACTGAAGCTTTTCCTACCTACTTTCAAACAATAGCATTCTGAAGGTAGAAAATAGTAAAAAATAACCTTTAACTGCCCTTTTGAAATTTATAACAGTCTTGGATAAAGACTGTTTCAGTACTTTTAAGAACTAAAATGTGGTACAAAAACACCATGGAATACTATGCAACCATAAGAAAGAATGAGAGCGTAGCCTTTGCATGGACATGGTGTTGGAGGCCATTATCATTAGCATACTAACTTAGGAACAGAAAACCAAATACTGCATGTTCTCACGTATAAAGGGGAGCTAAATGATGAGAACACACAGGTACCTAGAGGGGAGCAACACACACTGGGGCCTATTGGAGGGAGGAGGCAGAGAAGCAGGAAATATAACTAATGGGTACTGGGCTTAATACCTGGGTGATGAAATAATTTGTACTATCAACCCTCTTGGCATACATTTACCTATGTAACAAACCTACAATATACCTATGTATATTTACCAATTTACCTATGTAACATCCTGCAGTATACCCCTGAGTGTGAAAGTTGAAAAAAACTCCACAAATAGTTTCATAAATTCATTAAAAAAGAAAATTTATGTTTCAAATCCTAATATTTATCATTGGAAATATCTGATTTACATATATTCTATAAATCTAAGTATTGAAAAAATGAGCCATACCTATTCATTTGAACCCCAAGTTTCCTTTGGCTTAAAGTTTTTTGAAAATTAAAGTAAAAATTAGTTTTGACAATTGCTGTTTTTGCCTTATCCCTCTTATTCCATAGTACTTTTAAGAACTAAAATTTATCAAATGCCAATCATCTGGTTAGAATTGCCCCAGAACCGTTACACATACCATATTCTACTTAATGTAAGCCACCATGGATTGTATGATGCCCCATTATTGTATGTCTCAATAAGAGAATTATTTAAATGCTACCAATTATAGTTACAGTAAGTCATGAATTACAAGTGGTACTACAATATAAGGAATGTCAAAACATGAAGACAGCCTCTTATAATCATCAAAATACAATGTAAACTGTAATCTTTAAAACATACCTCAAAGTGTAGGTACAATTGTATTATCTCACTTAATTCAAATGTTGTCTTTAGTAGTATTAGTAAAAATATCTAACAATTATTGAGCTGTTATTTGAGTTAGGAACTCTTCTATATATTTTGTGTAGAGTCTCATTTAAGCATTACAGTGGTTTCCTGTGAGAAAGCTACTATTTTCATTCCCATTTTATAGATGAGGAAATTGAGACACAAAAAGGCTAAGCAACAGCTAGGAAGTGACAAAGCTCAGAGCAGGATTCCAGCCCAAATTTAATGTAAACAAAGGGCTATGCTCTTTCTTTTTTAATACAGTGAGAAATGAGAGGTAATTAATAGTGTGCTTTCTTTACAGGAAAATTAAATGTTTGTTTTGAAGGCAGAGGGATAGCATGTTATTCAATGTTTGCAATTACATGAATCATTGATACAGCTTTAGATAGTACACTACAATTTGCTAAAACGTCTTCTCACTCTCATAGGACTGCTCTACATTTGGCCTGTGGGAATTCAGAAGTAGGAAAACTGCTGGATAGAAAATGTCAACTTCGTGTCTTTGACAGCAAAAAGAGGACAGCTCTAACACAGGTATGCAGTAGCCAACTATATCAGCATGATATGGATTTGATTTCAATACATAGAATAAAAATGAGTTTTCTCATTTAAATATAACTTATTGATGAAACCTGTGGAATGTTTATCTTGAATTCCTAGGATTTATAATTTGTTTTTGGTCTAACATTGACAGGCTGTACGATGTGCGATACTTTTGCTACAACATGGTATTGATCCAAATCTTCCGGATGTGTATGGCAATACTGCCCTACACTATGCTGTCTACAGTGAAGATAGATTAATGGCCAAAACACTGCTTTTATACAATGCTGATATTGAATCAAAAAACAAGGTATAGATCTAATTTTATTTTCAAAATACCCAATGCGTTTATTTTAACATTGACTTGTGTAAGGGCCAGTTTTCCATATTTGGAAGCTCAAGCATAACCTGAATGAAAATATTTTGAAATGACTTAATTATCTAAGACTTTATTTTAAATATTGTCACTTTTAAAGACACATTAGAGGGTACAGCATTTTTTATGCACTTGCGGTAAATAATTTTTTTTTGAAAACTCTGAATTTGTAAAAGGTAAGACTTACTTTTTTTTCAATTTTCCCTCCCAGTTCCCCCCCCCCAAACAATGTAAAATGTCAAAATTTGCCCTGGAAATAGGTTTTACATTAAAACTCCAAGAAAACTAAAACATGCTTCAGTGAATAGAAATCTTGCTGCTTTGGCAAGCTCCTAAAAAAAAAAAAAAAAAAAAAAACAGTAATAGATATGAAGTGACGTATCTCTCAGTGGCAAGGCTTAAGATATTTCTGCTTGCTCATAAGGCAGAAATGGAAAGGGAAAAGGAGAGCAATCAGAAATATAGAGGCCAATTTGGATATTAGGTAATGGAGAGAAAAGATCATGAAGAGGTTTTATGTGTATGTTTTTTGTTGTTGTTGTGCATTCATTTGTTCCCTTTGTATGATGAGACAAGGTTCTCTTCAGTTTTAGAGAATGACAGGTTTTCAATTTGGGAGAGGGAGTTAGTGAGTTGTAAACTGATCAATTTTAGGAGGCCTCTGAGGAACCAGATTGGCAGTGAACAGGTGGTAATGTAGTGGGAAACCCTTGAGCAGAGGGAATAACAAGTAATTCACTGACTTATTATCCTATTCTGGTAGAAATGGCCGCTTAGATAAGAGTCTCAACTCTGCTTTCAAATCTAGAATGTCCTGATGGAAACGTGGAGGATAAGAAGCTTATAAGTAACAAGATGAAGTTGGATTTTGAGTTTACTACACCCTGTTCTACCCCTACCCAGGAAAATTAAGTGGTGTTTTCAGCAGATGAGTCTCTCTCTCTCGTTCTTTCCTCTTTTTGGCCAAATACTCAAATGATAAAGGGAATTGGTCATGTGGGTGAGAGATGAGACTGAAGTAATTGTTCATTGCACTAGTTTTCAGCTAGAATTGTGAATTAGAGTAACCTGAGAAAAATTTTTAAATAATCTGCAAGTCTAAGTTCTACCCTGAAGATTTTGATAGCATATGTTTACAAATGTTTCCTTGAGGCCAGGTGCAGTGGCTCCTGCCTTTAATCGCAGCACTTTGGGAGGCCAAGGCAGGTGGATCACAAGATCAGGAGATCGAGACCATCCTGGCCGACATGGTGAAACCCCGTCTCTACTAAAAATACAAAAATTAGCTGGGCGTGATGGCACGTGCCGTAGTCCTATCTACTCAGCGAGGCTGACAGGCAGAATCGCCTTGAACCCGGGAGGCAGAGGTTGCCAATAGCGAGATTTCGTGCCACTACACTACCAGCCTGGTGACAGATCGAGACTCCAGTCTCAAAGAAAAAAAAAAAAAAAAAAGTTATCCTTGAAGTCAGGATCGGTGGTGGGCATGGCTCATTAATCCGCAGCTGCTAGGCGAGGCGCTGAGGTGGGCACGGGATTGCTTTCGGAGGCTCAGGAGTTTCGAGTCTATGCGCTGGGGGCAACATATGCATGAAACGGCACCGCGCCGCTGTGCTGCTAAGCACCACAACAACAACAACCAAGCCAAGCACAACATTCCCTTGCAAATATTCCGTCGTACGCTCCTGCTGCTTAGAAGGAATCAACTGAATAGGGATACAGGGTACCAATAGGTCAATAATCTCATATCTCACGCAAAACCCTTAATGATCATTCTCTAGACCAGCCGAGTCGTGCGAGTTGGATATGTGCTAATTCCGTCTTACAACTGGCTTTCCTTTGCGCGAAAATAAATGTTACCGCTGCTGACTTTTTTTTGACCAGGGCAGGGTCTCCACTCTGTTCTTCCCGCACGGCTGGAATGCCAGTGGTGTGATCAGGCAGCTCAGCTGCA